GCTGTTTATATTGCTGTAGGCGCGTCATATATAACTTTTATAAAAATATAACTTTCATATTGTTTTTTCGTAGCCTTTTCAGGGAATTTTGCAAAAGTCTGGGTCTGTCCGTCACATAATTTAAAACGAAGACGCGTCACGCAACTTATACGTAAAGCGTACGTACGGACCGACTTTATCGACTGCCGTCTCCGCAGGAAACATCGGTGGTAAATTTGAAGAACGACCCCCGTTTGCCGCCGCTTGACTACCCCCGTCTCCAGAGAGCGACGCCATCCGACCACCCAGCAAGTATTTATCGGTTTCCAACTTCTTCACTGCTTCTTGCAACTGAGCAAGTCTTTTCTTCGTCGCGATTAACTGGCTAAACAAAAAGGTAAAGTTTATACGTACTAGACTAACAATAACAAAGCTGAGATGACACTTGAAACATAAAGTTCACGGTCTAAGTAACAGAAAAACGAAAAATCGCTACGATGCAACCTACCCCTTGACCACTTACGTTTAAAGCATTAGTTTTAAAGGTTATGTCATAACTACGACCAGATAATTGCACAACTGCAATGTAAAACACAATAAGTAGTAAAATTATCTTAGCGAATATGCCTAATATATGTTTTTACACAACCTGAAAGACATGTTCCTGTATAAATGGATGACAGTCGCACGAGGAATCCTTCCGTTGGCACTACTTCGAATTCGATTAGCCACAAGCAGCCCTCGACTTCTCCAAGGAGTCGCTCGAAATTGCATAAATAACGCATAAAACAGCAGATTCAACAGAAGTCATTAGTTCATTAACAAAACTGATCGCTTGGAACCTATGAACACCGGTTTGACCAGCTTTTCGTGGCGAAGCGGCTCTTTCAACTGATCAGCAGTCAAAAACTTGTAACTTATTTTCAGCCTCAGTGAATAACTTAATAATGTGCTTATAAGAAATGCAAGCTGGGATTGGCTTCGTGGAAAACGTAATATATAGTACAGCAGAACACGTAACAGGTCATTTGCATATTTCGTATGCAGCTGGTGTATCTATGCGCATGTGAATATTTCGTTGGGTAGACCAGTCCAAAACTCTGATGTCTAAACATCGTTGGAGGATCGGGTCCTGAAACACAACTGCTGATAAATAACTTATTGCTAACCTGAATAAAATGGCACGAAATACATGCATATGCACATGCAAATCATGTAGATAAAAAACACTATGGGCATGTGGCCTGCTTTAACGGATTCCGAGAATTTAAAAGCAAGAAGCTGCCATGTCGCGGTGAAAGCTGCATTTACTGAGTTATGCGCCGCGTTGTACATAATAGAACACAAAATACAGTGAACAGTGATAGTACATATATAATACTGATATAACTGTAAAGTTTTATAAGGACGGAATGCCATGGGCGATCATGGTGACATATGCATGGTATTAGATGAAAAGAGACGCAAAACATGCAGTAGAATAAGAATTTCATACACTGCAAGAGTATATACAGCTACCTCCGCATAACTGAGTTCTGATTCAATGAAAGAAATAAGTGATCATTTATAGTCATATAACAGGTTGTACACAACGACGTATCAGAAGGTGGGCGTCACATATTTGTGCAAAATTGTAATACTGAATATACGAGATTGTAGGTTGCGAATATGTTAATACGTAGACCTGAAAGAAGGTGCAAGAACGTAACACCTTCAACCCAGACTACACCTGTGTTATAGCTAAGTCATTTCTTTCTCCTTCCTCATCCTAAGTAACACTTGGACTGCTCAGTCGTAGAGCGTCGGATTCCAGCCCTTGTCAGGGTAACTTCCCCTTCTTCCTTCCGAGGTTGATAAATAAATACCACTCTATGGGAAGGAAAAAACACTATGCCTGCCACATAACTGCTGTCGATTTTTCCTTTAAAATAACGCACTCCTGGCTGATGGCATGGAAATCTACTGTTAGCTTCATGAAAAGGAGGACGCCTGAAATGGCTCTATCATTAAAGCGTAAGGAAGAATGCCCCCGAGCGGAATCGAATCACCGGTGTTAGAAGTAGACCTTTTAGACAACACACCAGAATAGATCACTGGACATAACCACAAAGTCCACCATTCGAAAACTGACGAAGATCTACACAGAGTAAAAGAGCTTCAACGTATTGCAATGTTAAAAGCTGAGAACTGCGACACACTACAGAAGACATTCCAGCCATATTCAGTTCGCAGTTTCGTACTTCTCCAAGACACCTTTCTTCCTTACTAGGTTAGGGAGCAGATATTCCAGAATTTGCTCAGCTGACTTTGAGAGTTTCATCCTAGGTGCTGTTCTGAGGTGATTTCAACCGTCAACGTTAACCGATAATCGAAGGATTGGTGGGGTTACGCAACAACTTATCAGTAAACAAGTAGAGTAAATTTTAGTTCTCCAGTTCGCAGTGCCTTCAGGGTCATTCAAATACGCAACCTTTCTGATCTACGAACGTGATATATATATATATATACGCAGGAGAATGAGACAAATTGTAAATAGATTTAACAGTTATTACATGGTAAATTTAGCATGGGAGAAGCATGAGCATATCGAATCGAACAAATGGAGTAGCGCAGCGTTTAAAATATATGTATATACATATTTCATCAGTCAACATGTTTCTTACTTAAGCTTGTTCTGGATTTCTATGCTTCCCACTGTCGCTTCGACTGCACACAAGCGTTCCGGGTCAAACGGAAGTCTGAAAAATACAGCTTTTGAAATAGTGAAACGTTTAATTCAAAAGTATATTAATCATCAGTCTACTATAAAG